CAAGAAATTCTCCTGTAAATTCTTTGGAGACTTCATTCTGGACAGCAACCCTACAACATTTGAAGAAGCAATGAAGACCATTGCAGAACTGCCAAGGATCCTGAAGGAACAGGGTGAAAATGCTGTTCCTATAAAAGTTCGGCTGACGCCACTGAAGACATTAGGGTATGGAGGTGCAGAGCTGGTAAAAGACATCAGCGTTGACTCACTAAGGAAGATTGAAGATACTCTGGAAGCTCTAAAGGAGATGAAAGAGAGATGCAATGACTCTCTGGATGAGGTGGTGGTGAAGCATTTCCCACAAATTAAAAAGTACCTACAAAACTTTCAGAAGTTGTGTAGTGATAAAATATCTGACTTCCAACGAACTCTGAAAAGAGTGCTTCCCTCCATTCGTGAAGGTAGAGCGGATGAGAGCTCACTGATCGACGTTTTTGATGACCTAGACAAGTCACCATACAATCTGGGAAATCTTAGCAAGTGCCTTGACTATGTAGAGAGAGAAATCAACATCATCAGGTCATTTTTAGGGAGGATGGAGGGAATAAAGATTGTTCAAAATAAGTCAGAATTAGATAGAGCAGTACTTGCCACAGGTGTAAATTATGCATTTTGCTTTGTTTTCACCGGTTTGATAAATGCTGACCTCAACCTTGATGCAATGGCCAGCGAAGACCCATGGTATTATTTAGACGATATCTTGGATCATATGAAAAAAGTAGAAGTCATTTTCATGGATCTTTACAGAGCATACAAGAACAGCACCCAGCTCTGTTTCCTTGTAGCAGCTATACAACACCAGAATTACAAAGGAGCCACCATTTATCAGTACAAGGAGGGCAGAATGATTACTGATCATTTTTCAAAGCCCGAGATACGGGATCCCAGAATTATAAAAAAGCGAAGTCATTTTCTTTGGAGTAAGTATTTACTTCCTAGATTGCTAGTTTTCAAAATCATCAAATATTTAAAGGCATTGTTGTAATTATCAACAAAAACCAAATATAGTTTTTTTTAATATTAGAAGTTACTTGACTGAAGTGGAAGATTATGTAGATGACTCCTAAAAGATTGTGTTTTTGCCTTTCATTCAGATTACTGTCATCTCACTCTGGACCCAGACACTGCAAATAACTACCTCACTCTATCTGAAGACAACAAGAAGGCAACATGTGGGACGTGGCAAACCTATCCAGATCACCCACAGAGATTTGATGGACATACACAGGTTCTGTGCAAACAGCCACTGACTGGTCGCCACTATTGGGAAGTAGAGTGGCGTGCTGGTTATATGCTGAGTAATGTTGGCATAGCTGTTGCATACAAAGAAATTGGAAGGAAGGGAAGAATGGATGATTTAAAGTTTGGATGTAACAAGATATCCTGGTATTTTGGTGTGGATAAAAGTGAATCCTTTGTTCCTTTGAGAGACGCACTTTACAAAATTGTGTCTAAAATAAAACCCTTTATCCCTTTTGTAGACAAATTTTATAAAAGGCTTGTAGCATACCATGATAATAAGGTGGGGATGGTTTTTTCTCTTACTAGATTGGGCAGAGTTGGTGTGTATCTGGATTGGCCTGCAGGCACTTTGTCCTTCTACGATGCTTCCTCTAATAGTGACAAACTTGTTCATCTGTACACCTTTGAAACCAAATTCTCAGAGTCTGTTTACCCAGGGTTTTACATCAATTCCAATTATGTTTTCTTGTGTCCAGCTAGTCAGATGATGGAAAACATTTAGCATACACCTGTTTACTGACAAAGAAGTAAAGCGCTCTGTAACAAAGACCAACTTGTAGAGGAAAGTCTCACCTTTGCTTTGTTGCTTCAGTGGTGAGGGAGAAGTGCTGATTGAGCATTGCTCGCACTTCCACCTCCAGCCATTGGCCAACTCTAGGGTGACCGAGCAATAAGGTGTGACGGACCTGTGTGCAATGCAAAAACGAAGTATGATGATAAGTGCTTTGATACAGCTTCTTTGTCCATGCTTTGCTGTCTCCTCACTGCTTGCTACACACCAAGGAGTGTCTATGCTCCACAAAAACAGCAACATGCTTTCTGTATGACACACGGTGATGACCTAGATTTAATTGGTCTGATATTTTGTGCCATATTTGTAAATACTTAGTTGAGGAGAAATGTAATCTTTTTAATCCTGACCTGGTTGAATAAAAGAAAACCTGTCTGTGGATTTATTCATTCTATAACATCTACATCAAGGGCGTAGATTTGGCATGGACGGAAGGGACATGTCCCCACCAATATCCAGCAATTATTGAATTGTCTCCACCAATAATTTGATTTCTTCGAGTAAAGAAAAACAAACCCGATAGAAAGAAAAAAATGATCTGTCAACGTGTCATTCACCCAGTGGTGCAGGAAGAGTTAAATTACGTTCTCTACTGCAGTGGTCCCCAACCTT